TTATTTTTAGTGTTGTATTTTATGTTCTTTTGAGATTTTTCATTATTAACTGATAACAGCTGATTGGAGTAGGTGGCACGTGTAGGGATCATTTCCTGTTGAAAAAGAGTCACATGACCAAATTTATGTGAGGACACATGAAGTCTGTTGAAGAAACCCTGACGCCACCACTTCTGTTCAAAGTATTCTATAATCCAGTTTTAAAATCCCTTCCAGATGCTTTTTCTTTTCAAATTCCTTAGACTAGTGTGGTAGAAAACTTTACCAAAACTAAGAATGGCTTCACAAAAAATGTATTTCAATAAAAATTGAATTGATTGAAATTCATTGGACTTTTAGCACATCTCGCATTTTTCTGCCCTATCTCTACATTTCATGTTCAGCCTCGTTTATGTTTTTCCAGATCTGCCCAGTCTTTCCTGCAGTCTACTGTCAAAGTAGATGGTGCAAAGCTACAACTGCTGAGTCTGACCTCTGATCTAAACGGCCTCTATCAGTGTGAAGCGTCGAATGCATATGGAAGTAAACATGGTCAGCTGTATGTGCATGTGACATCAGGTGAGGTCAGCTTGGATTTAGCTGTGCAGTTTGTCCAAATCTTTCTCAATTTTTTTGTAATTTCTGAGCTTTTGTGTGTTGTTATTCTGTTTTCTCTTTTGTCCATTCCTGTCAAAGGAAACTTGAACATCTAGACAGATTTCTTTGGTAAGCAGCTAGTTTAGACAAGTGGTTGCCTTACCCTAAAGTCAGCACAACATTAAGAACAACAGACAAGTTAATGGATAATGGATGCCTTACCCAGTGCAGTATATGATCATATTCAATTCAGTTCCACCAATGGAAGCTCAGACCATGTCCTATCTTGTGATTCTTTTTATGATCATATCAAGTTTGTTTCATTTACTTTTGTGCATCAGAACTTGTCAGTACAGGGACATTTTTGAATGTTTTTGGTACAGATGTTGCATGGTGTTTGAATACCGTCAAATTCATCTTAATGTGAAATATAAAACTAAATGCCAGGTAAGTGAGAGAGAACAATAGATCATTTCATATTCTCACTCCCCGTGTCTTTGCAGGAACATGCTCGGCTGCTTGGGCCTCATTTGCTGTTTTTCTTTTCCTGAATGTCATTGGAGCTGCAGCATGGTGGTTTTTCAAATCTGGATATTTTCAAAGGTGCGTAGAACAATAATCATACAAGCATACATTTAGGATGTTGCATGATAAGTAGCTATTATAGTATTTCAATATTTCATATTGTTGAAACTCCTAAATAAAAGCTAAAAGTCTCCACTTGAATTTAAAATTGATTGATTTTATTTCAAAATTGACCCCAAAATTTTCCAACTCTATACGACAAACTATGTCATTTTTTCCTGTGGTATTAGGTTTTTCCCCATGCATGGTGATGAACACAGTGACCCACAATCTCCCAGGAGTCCAGGTGATGATCATGGACAAGAGACTGCAGAGAGAGGTTAGTACAGTTAATTTGTTGAAATGTGAGTGTTTCCCTCACTGTTAATATGTGTCTTGAAATGTGTTGGCACTAGTGTAAAACTCTCTCATATGCAGTTACTGGGGGTGTATTTATAGTTTAATTATGAAGAAATTATTTTTATTTAATCTCTACTAAAAGACCCAATTAGTAACAGCAGTAACATTAATCGCTTATTATGATTGTGTTTAATATTATAGAAGTTTAAATGTTTTTTTCTAAAATCTCCAGTTGAAAATTAACAAATATTCTGAATTATCCGCCTTAGGAATCTGTCTGACAGCAAAAGAAGAAAAACATCTGGACTGAGGGCTCCACTAGTATGTCTTTCAGCTGGTAAATGAATAGGTGAAACACAGGTGGACGTTCCTGGTATCCATTCACATGCCTACCTCTATTTTATTTACCTTTCTTTCTACCTTTTCTTTTTTTTTTTCCTTCTTTTTTTTTTTACTGTTGCCACACATTAAATTTAGAGTAATCCCCACTGATGCCTGCTTGTTGATGGAAGTTTAATAAAGTATTTCAAAAATATATATCGACTGAAAAAAGAATTTGGACATTAATTAGGCCTACAAATCAATATTTTCAGATACTATTTGCTGACCTGGGGGATTTGTATGAACAGCATTAAAATCCACTCAGACTATCAGATTTTTTTTTTCATAGGCAGTCTAAAAGTTGAAAATTTGATTTAACCTTCATCCTTTTTTGTTTTGTGGGTTTTTTTTCTGGTTCTAGTGTCCTGTTTAAGACATTTGAAGTAAACTTAAATGCCTTTGAATGTAATTTCTCAATTTAAGACCAAAGAAAACAGTTGACTAAAAGATGCTGTCTACCACTGCTGTTTTTTTGTTTGTTTGTTGTATTATTATTATTTATTTAGCTATTGGTTGCATAGTTAGTTAGTTGTGTAAGTGTTATTTGGATTTGGCTGTGACAAATCATCTACTAATTGGAAGGTTGGAGGTTCGAACCCTGGCTGCTCTAGTCTGTCTGCCAAATCATTCTTAGGCAAGATACTGATGTGTTCATCAGCGTGTGATTATTAGATAGAAAGCACTAGATGTTAGTTTGTTTCACAGAACACACACACAGATAGATAGATAGATAGATAGATAGATAGATAGATAGACAGATAGATAGATAGATATGTCCCTCGTCCTATGACGAGTACCTGGATACATACGGACAAAATGGTGGTGGCTGACCAATCAGACATAGTGGTGGTAGACAAATAGAAGAAGATGGCCGTAGTGACATCTGTAGTGGTTTCAAATGACAGCAACATCAGGAAGAAGGAATACGAGAAGCTCGAGAAATACCAAGGGCTCAGAGAAGAGCTCGAGAAGATGTGGAGGATGAAGGCAACGGTGGTCCCAGTGGTAATCGGAACATGGTGGGTAGCCGAAAACGTATTATGTTGACGATTTGTCACCTAGCGTAAAATGTTACGCTTTGGGAGTGAGAAGGTGTTGCAGCGAGAGAGAGGAACAGAGAGAGGAACAGAGAGGGAACAAGAGCAGGTGAGACACACATGTTAGTCAAATGGTTGTTTACCAAAAGTATCACCGTATCATAGGTACTCATGTATCTCGTACCTAGTGTTTCTTTTTAGGTTTGTTATTTTTCAAATTCTATATTTATTAAGTTATGCAGGCTGGTTTGTACAACAAGGCTAAATAATTATAAACTTTTCTCAATCTAAATAGTGGACTTTGGTAGAATTAAAAAATAAGTGTAGTGCAGGTCTATGATGATTTTTAGTGCTACTATCATCTAGTTCTGATTCTGGTTCTGTCTTGGTTAAGTCCTAAGTAGTCCTGATTTTGAACTGTTGTAGTCCTGTTTTAATTCCGGATCAGTTCTGGGTCTGGTTGAATTGGGGTTTAGTCCACGTGTCTTGATACAGCCCCAACTTTGTTCTGCCTTGCTGCTTAATTAAAAAACTAGTTTAAGGTGTCCTGTATATGTGATATATATTTTTCTATATGAAGTCATTCTTTTTTGAAAAAAACTCAAAACAGAGGCTATTAAACTTTCAGTCATTTCCCCCCCCCCGCCCATCCCACATGCATACTACCCTTTAGGGCTAAGCCCCGGGTGTATCAAATGTCTGCCTCCGCCTCTGATCCAGTGACAGTCAGTATTTCCACTGTCAAAAGCAGAGCAAAGTTTATTTGGGCAATCAGGATTGATCTCCAAACGCAGAGAGCTACTTGTGAGCATGGAAAACCATAGCAGCGAGTGCAAAGCAAACACTTTTGCAAAGCAAACACTTTCACTTTGCTTTTTATGAATATCAGTTTGTCCAGTTGAGTAGCATAAACCAATGAAAGTGACAACAGCTAATCTGAAAAAGCAACAACAAGAAACCTTCAAACAGGCAAGGTTTTGCCATGACTGAGGGGCCAGACCAAGTGCAATTCAATAAATCAAGAGCCAAGTTACGTCACCAAGACCTCAATTTCTTGGGCCCCATCTTGGATGGAATTTTAAACAAATGCTCTGAATTGTCGATCAGAAAGCAAACTCAAGAATTATTTAGGAGTCAGATGGAAGTTGATGCATGTGCATGAACAGTCTGTCTGGCCATGCTGATTAATGATCTGGCTGATAAGAATGTGACAGTTTCGATAACATGAGCTGTAAACTGACAAAATGATTTCAACCCTGGACAACTAGAACATCCATATCCACATCTTGAAAAGAAAATGCTAGAATAAAGAACTGTATATTATTACAATAAACTTGTGCTCTATGCTCTTTGGTCCTGCAGTTTTTCTGCTGTTTAAGTGTTTCCTTATTTATCTATTTATTTTTATTAAATGTTGTTTTGTTTCTCAAAATGGATGGAATTATTAAAACAAAAGAGTGTTGTTACGATTTTTTGTATTTATTTATTTATTTAATGAACTAGCCTGTTCTTCATTCTGTCTCCGCTCCCTATCCAAGTTCAGTATTTGTAACATGAGTCCACAAATTAGAAGTAAAATTGCTCTTCTTGTTTATTTCTTTGAAATAAACTTATAAGCTCTGGACTCACCAAGCAATTAACAGCGTGTCTTCTTACTTTTTATCCAAAATCATCACACAAAGAAAGTAACAAGAAATAAAAGAGCTGTTTCTGGAAGCTGTACTCAACCGAGACACAAAGGGAAGGGCTACTTTGATGACATATTATTTAAACCTTTATTTTAACAGCTTTCTCCTCACTGACTAACAAACTACCCCTTTTCTACTTTATATTTCAGTTCCCCAGTTGTCTGCACCAGTTAGGCCACAAACTGTCTTTTTTTTGTTCGTGTTAGGGAGCAGGTGAGGGCTCGAATTCACTGCATTGTTTCTTATAGAAAATGTAACGATTGAGTGCAGGATGCAGACTGAGTTAAGAAAAAAAAAAAGGATTTAAAAAAAACATCCACAAATGTCCTGCTTTCCAACAATTTCATCTCCTCTTCTAGCATTCATACATTCGAGGTTAACTGGAAAATAATGGGAAGTTTAAGTTTTTATTTTTCTCTCTTTGCTTTTCAGCTCCAGCTTTTCACTTTTGTTTATGCATGTGTAATCCCTTCTTCCACACTAAATTCTGTTCTGCAAGGTAAAGCATAATGTCTTTACGTATATTAGTAAATAGACTATAGTCAACAGAATTTATGAAAGGGGTTATATATAAAATAAAGAAATGACCAGTTTTGCAAATAACTTTATGACTCTGGATTATTGTGCCTACATAAAATCATCCAGTGTGTTTTGGCCACATACATTATCTTTATAGAACTATTATATTTATTTGTCTGCTGCCCAATTGGCCAGAGCTGTCTTTTTTTTAAA